CTTCAGACAAATATCAAAATATGTTATTGAATATCTTATTCCATTTGGACCACTGATTGGAGGAAATTAATGGATATTCCAGCAAGACAATGCTCCCTATCATGCATTTAATCCACCAAAAACTGGCTTAAACTAGAAAAAATAGATGTAATGGACTAGCCATTGTGTAGCTCAGACTTAAATCCCATGAAAATGTGTGGGCAATGCTTTCTTGAATGATCTATGCTAATAACAAACAATACAAAACTGCTGATGAACTGACAGTTGCAATTGATAACTGTTGGGATAAAATAAACTTACATGAACTGCAACATTTGTCAGAATCAATACCTAATAGGATTTAAAAGCCAATTCTAAAACAAAGAAAATTATATTAATTAGTAAAAGTTTATATAAAAGGGCAAATTTACTACTATATGTATAATTATTTTACAGCAGATTTGATTGTAATTTTTATATTAATTCATCACTCAGAAATTTGAATATTTTTATTCACAAATATGATGTATTTGTGAGAAATTATTTATAATAATGAGCTTGTTAATTGTTAAATTGGTATAAATAAATATTGTGTGAAGTTATACACAAATTTCAAATGTATGTATAATTTCTTTACAGACTGTAGCAGCAAGCTGCTATTGTGGCTGTATGCTGTATTAATGTATATATGTATAGAGTAATTTAAGTATAGCCTTATTTCTTTCCTTTGTTCTTTGTTTCTTCCTCCTTCCGGAACTTTCTTTTCTAATGTTCTATAACACTTTTTCCCTTGGGTGGAATAACTGACTTTGAGAACCTTCCACCCATCCCAACTTCTGAAGGTGTGGGGAATGAAACAATAAATAGCAGGAGGCCCTCGGGGCAAGTTGCTGATAGTTGGGACACTTTTTGTCCGAGACAGCTAAGAGTAGAGATGTGCGATCAGTGAGCTCCAAGTTGTGAAAGCAGTGTCGAGAAGAAAGAGTGTGATCGTTGGTATGTACAGTTGGTATGTTGGAACAACAGTGGGCCAAGAGAGGAGAAACAGAAAGCGCTTGTGGGAACCAAAATAAGGGAAAATTTTTAGTATCAAAACAAAAAGTGGGTTGTCTCAAAATCTCAACATTGGACCCTTTCATTGAGAAACACATGAAGCAATGGGTACCCCCTTTCCTAAAAACTCATTCTTTCCTAAGATCTTCTTATTCTCTAATCTTTTTCTATCTTAATATTAAGTATGTTAAGAATATAAGATTAAGTTAGTTGTTAAACATGATTGAAGATTGTGTAATTACTTGACGCAAATATTGTATACGTAAGTCTGTGTAGCGATTGAACGGGCTCATTTTTGGTGCAACTATCGCCATAGTTTGTCTCTGTACCCACAAGAGGAAGATGCAATAGAGTTGGGACCTGTATATTTATGTATCTTATGTCCACTTGAAAATAAAGTCTTGTTCTTTATATTACACTGTCATTATTCAAGTCGCACATAACATCACATTATGCTTATAACATAACTTGCTTGCAAACATGATATCCATAAGCAGGATGGCAACTGAAACTGATGCCATTAGGGTTCCATATTTGGAAGTGACTATCTCGCAAAGGTTACATGTCAGACTTTTCTTTATTCTTTACTGATAAATATCATTAGAAAATCTGACCATTGAACTGGGCTTTCTGTTAAACATATGATAGGCTTAGTGGAATGTGCAGCATGACTTCCTGTAGCACCAGGAAGTAGACTAATTTTGCAAAGCTATATCTTGTGAAGGTTCACATATAGAGGTATAGACTTTGACTTTTTTGCTTCTACAGGCATTGTTCCAACAGTTTCATTCACATTCATATCTGCAATCTTACTGGGCCTAATGTAACTTGAGACTACTAAGTCTCAAGATACATTGGGCCCCATTCTTCACTATCTATCTACATCAGTGTGGGCCTAGCTAAACCCAAACTGGATGTGCCCACAGGATAGCGAGAGTTAAAAAATAAACAAACAAATCTCAAAAAATAAAATTGAATGATTTTGAAGTTAACAATTAAACATCATGCTTATACTTTTTTTATTCTGATTAAAAATTCTAATTTTTATATTGACTATAAATATTTTCAAATTATAGTTTATTTAAAATTTAAAATATCTAATGATAAACCCATAACTTTCTATGGAAATGGATATGGATTGATATGTTCTTGTGTAAAGATCTACCATTGCCATTACAAAACATGGGCATTTGAAAATGAAAAACAATTGCATCCTTGTGCAAATGAATGACAAGGACACTTTACCTAAAATAACAAACATCTGCAACTCTTTTTGTACTCATATGTTAAAGAAGAACTGCATAAAAGTTAGAGAAAAAAATTTTATTATCCAGTTGTGCAGATCCAATTGTGTCAATTATAAAAGAGAGTTGATGGTCTTTACTAAGTATCTGAGTTAAGAAAACAGTAATTAAACAAAGCTACACTGCAAGCCATAATTAATTGTTCATTGTCACTATTGCTACAGATTGTCATTTTGTTAACAAGACTTTATGGATAAGTAAAATCTGTCACTTTTGATGATGTCAGAAAGCTAGAAAGCTGTCAACTGGAATTGATCATGTAACTTAACATGTTTTCATGTCTCTAATATCCCACTTTTTAGATTTCAAGATCTGGTCATTTTATCTTATATGATCTTCTGACCTATCACTGTTGATATAAAATCAAAGAAATATAAATAACCTAAATCAAAATTATAAATAAATTACAGGTCTACAAAAAATAAAAGTGAACACTTTTATTTTGCTATAAATCTTACATTTAATTGTGTTTCTCAATGTGTCCATCTTTTGCATAATATATACTCCTCAGTCTATGTGGCCAAGACTTTAGAGTCTATTCTATTGTGTGGTTGCAGCTTTCTGTCTTATATATATATTTTTTGGCTATTTTTCTGCAATGGAGAAAAAGGTTGGCAATCTGTCGAGTGCACAGGAAGGGTATTTAAGGTGACGTCAACTGGCTATGGGGCTTTTTTTCTTTCTTTTGCTCTTCTTGAGACTGGTGAATGGTACGTAGTAGTGCAGCATTCGTTTTACAAGGACAGTTTTTTAGGTGTGTGAAGTACAAATTGGAATCAAGATCCATTGACAATTTTTATGTTTCAAATTTATACGTCGGTCTCATATAATATTTAGTACCCTTTAAGTGATGTGTGTCACTGAATATATATACAGAAACATTGTCATACATTGTGAAATATTCTTCTCTACTGTGGTTCCTTTGTTCCTGCGACAAATTGGATTACGGAGTGTTGAACTATCTGTGACTACAGTATTGTAACAGTGAGAACTGTAAATGCATGTGGAATTGTATCTTGTGAACTTAAATATATATATATATATAATTGTATAATTATATCTATGTTGTGTATATAAACTTATTGTTAAATTGCATCTTTGTGTCTCTTCCCCACATGGTAATTCACCTACACCTACAATTAGTGAGAATATTAAGTCTTGTGATTTTTCCACACTATTGTGAAATCCGGAATTTTTGCCCACTATTTGTCGATTAATTGTCCCGTATTTGCTTAAAATCCAATTAAATTTTCCTTTAACTTAAAGTGGAACCTAACGGGGAAAAAAACTTTTCGTTTATGTTCGACATAAACATCCGTTCAATTCGAAACTAATCCCACATTCCAACTGCTAAGTTGATAGTTAGCATGGTCCCGGAAACAACTTTGACCCATCCGCGTACCTTTTACCTCACAACAATTGATCACATGACCATTCTCCCACGCCGAACTTATAAAAACCCCTTCCTTCCCCTTCTCGGGGGAGTCGTTCATTCGCCGTCACTTTTACAACTGTGTCCTAAGAATATTGTGTCCTATTCATATACTGTGTCCTATACGATATTGTGTCCGGAAGAAGAATTATTATCCTAATTCTACCACATCGTTGGATATCACAACCTTTTTCCTTAAGAATATTCAAAGACATAAAGAGGTATGGACCTTATTTTTGTGAACTCTCTCTCGGTCCTTCGCGGTTCAGGGATTCAGATTTTCCCTTTTGAAATTGGTTATTGTAATCTCTATGTAGCTAATAAATCGTTGTTATCCTGTTAAAGTGGTGTCATCTTTACTCGTATATCGCCGGTCATCTTACCGACGCACTCCTCCCTCCGCCACTCGACCCGAAACATTTAATCCCGTTACTGCGGGAACGGTAAAATTTTAATCCATCCTGACCAGTGAGAAGGGTTTAACGACCTGTTGCCGGATCGGGAGACCTACACCCTCCCCGGCGGTTCACACTATCATCTCTTAGAAAACTTTTGTAATTTCTTCTTGAATGGCACATTTTAATCCATATAATGTATGCACATTTTGTCTCTTTACTCTTTGTTTCAAGTAGCCCCAAAGGAAATAATCAGGGAGCAGCATCAAGACTGTTTGGCAACCATTCTGAAGATCTGATAAATGCAATTTTACTTTCCTGCAAGAATGCAATTCTAGCCTTTGTCCTATGTGAAGACACAGCATCTTGACGAAATAGTCACCATCTAGAAACAGTCTCTTGGCATCTGCCCAGAAGAGACAAAAGATCTTCTCAATATAGTATTTTGATAATACTTTTGCCCCAGATTCCACAAAAATGGGCTTCATTGCTCCTTTGCTGACATTCCAGCCCAAACTATAATTATTCCAACTATTTCATCATCTATTTTTTCATTCATTGTTTTGTTGCAGATTACCGTTCTGGACACATGCACTTGCTACACATTTTATGATTCAAACATCACCCACATCATTATTAAATAACTTTCATTATTCTATAACATTCAGTGTTTGCTTTGAGATTTTGTAGACCTGTATTTCTGTAATTGTAGAAAAGTTTATACTGAAGTTTCATATAATATATTCATTAAGTAATATATTAGAACAAAGTGTTGCTATATCTAACTTTTTATTAATTAAAAATAATAATAAGCAGACAAAAGAATGGTTTACTAACTTTGCAATTCTTCCACCATAACTTTCTATTCAGCTTTCCTGCCTTCTGTTCAAACTGTGAAGCTTCTTGCCGTAACGTATCTGTAAAAGATAATGAATAATTTATTTCTGAATATATTATAATAAAGTATGATTTACATAATTCAAATGGTATGTCTCATTATGTTTGTAATATGTTGAGAGATAACACTATTGAAACCAAAATTATAGTTTTGTTTAGTTTGGAATAGATTAAATTATGATACTAAAAATTTTAAATAAATTTTGAAACACAATAAATTTTTATACCTTAAATGTATTTAAATAAACCAGAAAGGCTATCATTAATTTAAACTTTATTTTTTCATTTTGTATTTATATTATATTTACAAGTCACAACACAACACTGAAGCTGAAACAAGACTTTATATACAAGGCAAAAACAAAAGAACACATCACGGAACAAAAGTAGTTTGAATATCCATGGCTGACTGTATAACAAAAGCCAAATTAAAATTTCATGGTCATATTTCCATCAGCCAGCACATACACTGTTACCTGCACGATAATCCAATTCCGATAACTTCTGATCTCTTTCCAGTACTTTCTCCAAATTGGCACACATGATATCCACAACCTAGTCATGTCAATTGAATGACATCATCCAAACAGCAGACATAAAGAAAAAGCACAGTGGTTAGTTGTAAAATGACTAGATGAACAGATACCTCCTTTTAATTTTCACAGTATTCTTGTCAAGAAATAAATTATTTTATCTCATGTATGTGTCTTAATAAATAAAATTTTTCACTATACCACAAAGATACTTCTAAAGAATTAAAATAATTTTGCTTTTTTTTATGTGAAGTATTAAAAGAAAATATTAAACTCTAATATTTTTATTATATAATTTTTTTTATCTTTCTTAAACATTTAAATTCAATTAATGTTTTTTTAAGATGTTAACTTAAAATCTATAGTGTGCATTAAAATTATAAAACAGAAGAAAAAGCAAGCAATATTTCATTTTTTTTTTGTGACTTAACTATTCTAGAAAATAAAAAAAATATATTTATATATAACACAAGTTATATAATAGAAATTAAAATTTATTACTGGTAATTACATTCTTCTAAGAAGTCACACTTCAAGATTCTATTAATGATCTTTTTCAAATCAAAATATATCATAAGTAAATAAAAAATTATAGGGAAAAATTTTCGAAGAAGAACTATATGGACTGCTCTACTGAATTACAAGTTAAAAAAAAAAAAAAAAACAAACACAAATTTGGACCCAAATCAATTTTCGTATTTATTTTCTGAAGATCTTATTTATTTGTATAACATACAAATGTTTGCTGATGATAATCGTTGAGATGTACTTTGATTTGAATTTAATAGTTTAAGTAAAGCATGAAATGTGACAGTTTTTAAATAGAATATATCTAGAATGACATAGATTCCTTTAACTATATTTTGTTGATATGATTTGAACTGATAAAATACAAATAATAGATATATATTTTAAATATTAAAGAGTATAGAGTGTTAAAATGTAATAGTACAATCTGAAGTAATGTAGTTTAGCTTTATAAAATAAATGTAAAATGCACAGAGAAGCCTTCCTATTAAAATATAAAATGTTGAAAGTTCTGCAATGAAAGTTCATAATTAATAAGTTTAAGTGTAAGAAATATTTCACTGAATATTGAAAATATGAAAATATCTTGAATAGCTAATGAATTTTAATTCTCTCAAATAAACAGAATTTAAACTACACAATGATAATTATAACCATCTGCCTTTTACTGCTTTTTCAGAGTCCCTTTGTACTTAAAGGCTTAGGTACCTTGCAGTGAAAGACAGTTGATTATAGTGTTTGAGTTTTAATTGAGATAATTATAATAGCTACTGGTATTTTATTGGAACATTCGTATGCAAAATACAATCTTCTATATTTTCAAATACATAGACATACCTTTAAAGGAAAACACAAAAAGTTTTCAACTATCTTAATAAAGTTGAATGGATGATCAATGAATATTGTAGCTGCCTGTCTGTAAGGCTGCATATCATCATGAGTGAGGTGTAGCCTACCATGTGCAGTATCTCTAGTGCCATTTAGCAATATATATTATGGTGGCACTAAATGTCACTAGATATATTGCTAAATGAATATATTTGGAAGAAGATCTTTTTGGAAGAAATCTGAAAAATAGTTGAGAATTTAACTCACAATTTTTAAATAAGAACACATTGTTATGCAAATTAGCATAAAGGAAAACGCCACTAGATGCTGAGAGCTGAACAAATACAATTTGTAAAAGTGAAGTTTAATTGAGTTGTCTATGTAAGAACTATTACTAATATTAAATAAGGATAAAAAAATTAGTAAAAGAAAAGTTCAATCATATAGATTATGTGGGAAATGTTACTGATATTGAAGAGAAAAGTTCAATCATGTAGATTATGTATGAACTGGTACTGACATTAAAGAAGAAAGAACTGTGCTACATGTCCATTCTAGGATCTTCTTGATATCTTCAGGTTTATGTAATGATAGGTTTATAATATAGTTTAATATCTAAGTAATAAATTAATTTTTATAAGACTTAATAGAAGTTTGAGGAGTCTTCAAGATCCAGAAAAGTCTAACTGCAAAAGTCTGGGTCTTGTATGCACCAAGTAAGATTAAGTCTTTGGCTTGGTATTTGAAATAATCCAATATATACTGTATGATTCCCACTTGTGGTAATACACGTCTAAAGATGGAATTTGTGATTTTAAAGGTATGTTATGTGCTACTTGCATAATTCACAATTTTTTAAATTCATATGTCAGGTTGTTGTGTATGTAAAATTGGTTTTATATGTTTTAGTTGACTGAAGAGGGGCGAAATGAAGCCCGAAACGTGTGTATAAATGCGTATCAATGAATATTGAAATAAAAGAATGAATAGTACCAAGTGATCATTATTATGCTACATTGCATTTATAAAACAAAATGAATATATGTTATGGTGTCTGTCACCATAATATATATTCAGTGCATGTGCCAGGCAAGACAGTAAAATTAAAAAAAATGCCAAAGCGCAAGAAAAAATTTTTGCGGTCTCGAATCATATCTCAAAGGCAAAAGATGGCACAGAGAAATGAAACCACGGAAGAAACAGAAGTATGTCTAACATTGCTATGAGAAAATTATCAACGAAACAGAAATAATCAGACAGAAGAGCAACTTGAAAATTATAGGGAAACACATCGAATCAGAGAAAGATTATGTAGAGGAAGAGAAACAGTCTTTTATATATATAAAAAAACTATATTACATATAAATGTATGAACAAATAAAAACCCAGCAAAGCGGGTACTTGCAGCTAGTAATAATATAAGACACTATAAAACAATGTTAAAACTTTCTGCTGAATTTAATTGGAAATTTGTATCTGATAAGCTGTATATATTATGTCTAAGGTGAGACTACACTAGCATAAAAACGGGCTTAAAACCCCTCACCATAATAGCTTTTAATCACTTGGCCTTTTTGTGTTTGCACCTGGAGTGCAGTGAAGCTAGTGAAATTTTTAAAGCGACGGTACTATTGAAGTTACCATTGTATACGTGATATATCGATATAAAGACAATGATTACAGTATATTCTACAAGCTTTTTCTGTACTATATTTACAAATGTAGTAAAAATAATATCTTTATTTTCATATATTAACTTTTATTATCGTATTATTAAGATAATATAAGCTTAGCTTTTCTATAATATACTCCTCTAAATTGAAGGATTTTCCTTTGGCCATCCATATTGCATGTTTTAGGCATCCATTATTATGATCAGGATTGTCATAGATACATGAATACTTGTCATAGATACATGAATACTTTCGGATGTTTTCAATAAATCTTTCCAGATCTATTCTAAAGTAGCCACAAGAGAACATACACAAAAGCTCATTTTCTGCCATTTTTGCACCGTGTCACAATGACTTAGATTTCAATGACTTCTGATTGGTGGATGGTACCATTTTATGGCCATATTTGCATCAAAAGTTGAACACTACTCAACTCACTTTTATGCTGGTTTTATGACTTGCTCAGGCATAAAATACCATGGTCATGTGATTAAAAGCTTTTACGGCAAGGGGTTTTATGCCCATTTTTATGCTAGTGGAGTCTCGGCCTAAATTTCTACATAAAATATAATCATTTTCCATCTAACTCATTATTATATTTAATAACTAGCTGTTACCTGTGGCTTTGCCCATGTGAATTTTGCAATTTGATAGAAATAAATCTCGGTATTTCACTAAGATTCTCAATCATTAGTTGTTACTAATTTGGTAAAATTACTGATTTTTGTTTGTTTCAAACTATGGACTGCTAATGCACCTAAATTCAAGTTTCAAATATTATGGGATTCCACAATACAATAAATCTGAGTTCAATTTTTTTTAAACATAAATGACATTATCTGAAAATTCATAAAGTATTAAAAGATATCATTTAGGTAAGCGTTTATATTTTTGGTGTCAGTGGGTGGCGAGGGGCAAGACACATACGTATATGAGATAGGTAACTGCGTGGCGCAGTCGCGTGATTGACAAGATATGCAGTGCACATGTCTGAACTTGTATATTATATAGATGTCGAAATTTCTCCCCATGGGGGAGAGGGACAAAATTAAGGCTTACCCTGAAGCACTCAACTTCTATTATACTATTTTAGATGCGGTTTTTTTGCATTTTTGATTGCATTTTAATAGGGTACGTCAAGAGAATGTACACTAAGAAGGGATTTTTCGAAATTCCTTCCTGTGGGGAGTGTTATACATTTATAATAGATATATTTTGAGCCACAGCAATGTATGGCCGGGTACAGCTAGTTTTTCAATATATTTATTTTGTTTGTACAAAATAAAGAAATAATTTTTAACGATACAATAGCCATGATTATTATTATAAAAATTTTTGTTAGGCTTAACATCAATGCGAAGCAACATGAAACGGAGAAAAATTTAAACATGGGATATACTAATATACTATATTAATAATGTATTTTTCATACACAATCAGTTATCCAAAACATCGATTTTCTGAACAACCTGAGTCCCCAATTGATTCAGATAATCGACGCTCTACTGTAATTCTGATACTTTATTTGCAAAAGCTCAGGACAAAGTGATTGCCAGCAGGCCACCCTATTGTCACCCTTAATCTGAAGTCCCAACAGTTGAAGATGGTTGGCTTTAAGAATGCTAAATTACTATCCTGGGACCTGGATGCAAAACTGAAAGAAGTCATTGAGAGAGAGGATCATGGGAGGAGATCCTCTTGACAAATGGACAATTGGAGATAAGAAGTACAGTACCTGCAGTGGGGCCAAGAAAATACTTGCTGTCATGGATGTCCACAGAAAATTTTTCAGTGGGGAAAAGCTTAGAGACAAATAATTACATCTTTACTGATATTGAACCTACTCTTCCCCCGACTGCAGTCTTGTTGCCCCATATCCAATCTCTTTACAAGTAGTAAGTTATAAATAAGGGTAGAAAAAGGGTTGTAAAAAGGGAGAAAGTAACTAAACAAGGGTAGACAAAGAATCAAAAGAAAGGAGAGAAAATAATGGGAAAAATGGGGAGAGAGGGATGAGAGTTGAAGGAGGAGAGCAGAATAGAGGTGGAAGGATGATAGAATTAGTGAAGAGAGAAGTGGAGTTCAAAAGTGGGCAAGGAAAGGTAAAAAGGATCTCATAACTACATAGATTGAGTTTCTACCTTACATAATCAAGTGTGATAGAAGTTCAATTTTTACAACCTGACAGGAAAGAATCTATGAATGTAGGATGAATTCTCTACATCAATAAATTTTATTTAATTATTTAATTTTTTGAAATTTTTTTACAAGTAAATTATAAAATACATTATGGCATCAATACTAAAATACATATATATTGTATATAAATTTAAATGAAACAATAATGATTTTACTCAATCCTGGAGGCAAGTGTTCTACTTGTCCCCCTCTGCAGACATCCATATTTGCTGAATTGATGATTTTGTGAATACCAAATTTTAAATGAGTCCAATGACTGTATTTTAAATGAATACAACCATCAATTTTGATGGGTTCCTGCTAGTATTATATAAAACTACAAAAATTGTTTATTTTTACATATATGATGTGATATGGTCAAATTTGTAAAATCTTATTTTATATTAATAAATTCAAATAATATTTAAATGAGTATCTCAGCTCTTAGTACTATTTTATATATTCAATAAATTGTTTCATTAGTTTGTAAATGTTAAAACTTCATATTATATATTTAAAAAAAGTAAAAATTCAGTAAAATTGTATCATATATTTATGCATTCACATGGAATCTAATAAATTTTGCTAAGTTACTTTTATTTTATTTTAAGAAATTATTAAGATTTTAAGCTGGTAACTGTAGAATGAGGAATGATAATCATTTTGAAAATCCTATTTAAAATATTAATTTTCAAATATTAGACTGTTTTTTTAATTACTGTAGCAAAATTAATTTCCCTTTCCTAAATAGCAGGAAAAACTTCTCTCTAGTAGAGTTTTTCCTGCTATGGTATGAGATAGTCTATAAATTACACAACACTATTTTTATACATTTTAAATACTATCCAACTCCCCTGTAATGATTCATAATGCTGTCATACATACCAACTTCCAAAATTATATGTAATGCTTATCTTCAATCAACTCTTAATTGTACTAAGAATTAATACACAACATGAGATATGTTGTTGCCATTTGGCAAAAGTACTACCTTGGCTTAATCCCTATTAAATAATTTATTATTATTTAACAAACAAAACCAGTCAATTTAAAAACCCTAGCATTAGATAACATTTTTGTACACACTCCCACCCCTTGTAATGATTACCTGCATACTCACCCACTCTTATTTTCATTACATAATTTATCAACAGCTCTATGTTGTTTTAGTGATTTAGCCATTACAATTAATTCAGTATTTAATTGAAAAATCTTGTACTACAAATAATCAACAGTATTAATTAGTGATATTAAGAAAAAGTTTCTATGAAGTTTAACAGATTATTTTTTTTTTACTATTTGTGTTTTTTGTAATATTTATTGAAAAACAATCGTATTTAATTAAATAAGCATTGTATTTAATTACCATAATACAATTATAATGTAATTCTATCAGAAGAATATACAGTACACAGAGAATGCTATCAATGTTATCTGTGTTTAATGACAAAAAGAAATGATTTCACAAGTACTTTTGACTTTTTCAAAAATGTCTTCATCAGGCAAAAGAACATACAACACTTGCAAGAAGAATATACAATTTTCAAGAAATATAAATTACTGTTAATTTTAAAATCAGTGTAGTAGTAATAATAATAATAATAATAACAACTCTCCCACGGTCACCATATTGTCGTGATGGGAGAGCCCTGTAATTTTACTGATCCATAGAGCAATGCCAGCTGGAGCTCAAGCTTCTGGTAGGGACATCTATGCCAGTAAGGTCTATGGGAAGAAATGAAGCTAAGAGTAGTAATAATAATAATAACAGTTATCCCAGGCTTGACTTCTAGGTTAACAGTCATTATTGTACACAGCTATATGCATAATTTAAAATGTATAGTTTTTAAGTTTAAACATGAAGTGGCACCAGAGAACTTTTATACATTTTACAGTGTGGCATAAATCAAAAAATTTAGCAATAACTGGTTTAATGAAATAGTTGATAACTTTATAAAGAATAATAATTCAACAAGAAGAGTAACTTTCTATATGACAAAGGAGTAAAATTTGTCAAATTACAAATTTAAAAAAGTTTATTAGAACAATTGTACTGATCCGAAAATTTAAAAACCAGAAGGTTCCATTGCTTTGTGAATATTGTGACAGTAAAATTTCATGTAGAATTTTAACTTAACAGTTTTCATAATTATAATTATTTACATTTTATAAAAAAATATTTATTGTCAGATTTCTGATAATGTTAAATTTTTTTTATTACCTCATCCACTTCAGCCTGAGTTTTTTGTATTCTTTTCTGAGCAGCATGCTGTTGAGGATTTGGAGGCCTTGGTGGAGGAAGATCATCAACATTGACTTCAGATGACCTAAAAGAATTTTATTAATATTCAAGTTTATTCAACAGAAGAATGTTATATTTGTAACAAAAATTATGATAAAAATGTCAAATTTATTAATAAGCAGTTATATATAAGACAAAACTAAATTGCTAGAAATACATAGCAAAAAGTTATCTTTATAATTTTTATAAAATTTTCCTGTAATGGATAATGCTTTAGATCGGATGTCCTTAATGTGGTGCTAGCAATCTGAGGAGTCAGTCAATTTATCTGGGAGGTTGATCAATTAATACGGGTAATTTGTGGATGTCAGTAGACAAATTTCTTTTTTATTATATTTAAAAATTTTAATAAAAATAATATCTGAGTAGTATCTGATATACTGTATCTTTCAATTTTAGTAGAGTAAAACAAATAGTTTTTACTTAAATACAAAATCAAGCCCAAATCATATTACTAATCAAATAAGTTGGCTTGATTATTTTATTAGAATTTTGACTTATTTTAATAAAAAAAAAATTATTATTAATTGCTAACTTATTTTTAATCATCCAACTTGTAATTTATTCTTATTTTGTATAAGAACATACAGGGATTAATAAATTAAATCTAAGTTTAGAAAAGAATTGATAAGCAACAAAAGTTGAAAATATCTGCTTCAGATTCTACATTAAAGAATACAAAATATACCTTTTTTATAACAATATGTGTTAAAAATTACAATAAAAATTCAGAATAATACTGTACATTGTGTAATTTATCAAAGACTGACAAACTTAGTCAATGTTTATGTCAAATTTTATTTATAAATTACCATAATTTCTATTTTTCTTAACCAGAACTTCAAATTTTTTATTGGAATATTTTTATTATTTTGCTAACATTTTAATTTGCAGAAATTCATATTAATCCCCTTTTGTAGATTATTTCATAACAATAAATTACAATATTTTGCACCTATTTTATTCATAAATGATCAATATCAATCAAATAGAATATTTTACTCTTAGCAAGACTTATCATATTTAACTACGTTCAGAAAATTAAAATCATTCTTTATTCAACAATATTCTTTTGTCTTTCTATAGCCTTCTCAGTTTGTATCAAATACAAAATGTTGATACAAAACATAAATTTGCATTTGTTATAAGCTGAGAACAGAATAGCTGAAAATGTTACATAATAAGAATATTTTATTTTCGCAAACTTAACAATTTAGCCTTTTAAATTATAAAGCGGTACAAATTTAACAAATATTCATGCAAATACGCCATCACCTGGATGCCCAAAACTTTTGTCTCTCTCATTCTCAGAAGACATTCAAAAGGATGAAAGGAAAATTATGAATTAAGAAATTCAAATTCAAGGAAGTGCATACTACTGACATAAGTTTAAGTCATGGGTAGGAAGATATTGCACATTTTTTTTTAATCATCATATGTATACAGGGTGTTTCTGAAATAGGATAAACTTCGAGAGATGATTCTTAACAGAAAATAATAGAAGAAAAGCATATAAACATATGTCTGGAACATCTTGTTTTTCCTTATTTTCCAGCGAGGAATCATTCCCAGAGTTTGTCCCACTATTTCAAAAAGACACTGTATTTTTAGTTGTAGTTAATATATGATATATATTTTGTAATTATATTAAACCATAGATAACGTTAACGAATATCAAGAAATTTAAATAAATTATCAATTAAATCTGGAATTTATAAGTTCAATACGGTTAAAAATCAGCCTGTAAAGCGTGCTTCCCTGCATTACCCAGTGCTGTGCAGAGAAGTTCACATTTAATATTAAAGGGGAAATTATCTAATAAATTATTATTATTCAATTCTTGAATAATAGAATTAAGTTCTTATTTTTATCTATTGTCATATTGAATGAAATCAAATACTAGATAAAAATGTAAGAAAATAAAGACATTCAAGTTATCGAAATGGATAAGTTTAACACGAAAATAGTTATTTAAAATTACAATTGACCAAATACTTACATTTTACTTTGATTGAACTTATTATTTTTTTATTTCTTAAGTAAAATGGCGATCGAGCCAAATCTACGATCGTCACTCATCCGGGTATTTCTAGTAATTACAAATGTCACCACTAGAGGGAGAAAGTAATAAAATGCTTTTTTTTCTTTTTATAAAATGTATATTTTTTAAATATCATAAATTATACATTAGATAATAATTTATGATATTGATTTTAGAGAGAACAATTTTAAAAATTAAATTAATTCTTAAAATTATACTTTAAATCAATTAATATATTATTATTTAAATAATATACTAAGGCACTTGGTTCTAACCCGGGTAGAAAACCTTACAAATTTTTCAAAGGTGGTCTGATCTCGATGTCGGGCTCCATCCTTTCCATCTGGCCAACCTCACTGTGGGTCTGACCGAATCTATAATGGACCCGGAAGAAAAAGATTCATCTTAATGTTCACAAGAACATTAAGCTATTCCCAATTGTGGGCATGGCCGAACCCACAACGGATACGATTATAAAATTCTTTTAGTGTTCCCTATGACAGAACACAAAAATTAAAATCGCCACGTATCGAAAGTTATGATTTGAGACAATAAATAATGATCACAAAGTATAAATTTCTGATTTTACGTGTACTTATCCACATTACAGCAAATATGTTCTACAGATTCGGACATTGACGGATTTAGAAATATGGCGCTTTTAACTTGTAAGAGCAAAATATGCTAATAGTGACCATTTTCAGAATAAAATGATGACCAAACTTCTTAAGATATTTTTTTTTTCGGGTCTCCTGTAATATTAAAGTTGTTTTCGCCGATTCTGGTGGTCTTTGTTTCCATGCAATCAGATTCAAGGATTGGACTTTGCAAACACAAAGTCCAATCCTTCTGATTGGACTTTGTGTTTGCAAAGTCAGTTCAGTTCAGAGGAGAATATTCTACACAGTTGGAAAAATGTTGCACAAACTAGTATAATAGATAGAGATAATTAGAAAGCCGTATATAATTTGGATAGGCGATAGTTCCGATTTAGTTGTATCAATATTTATTTGTATCATTGTATTTATATTTGTATATTTATCCGATTTAGTTGTATCAATTTAGTTGTTGGGTGTGATAACAGTCGATACAAGTACGTTAAGTAGTTGTAATCTGTGGAAAATCTTTATAAAATTGTAAATAAACCAGTTACAAGTTGCTCAACTTTCCCGGCAACATTTAAAATTTTGGTGGCGCCATCTGTTATCATATTTTATTAAAATTTTTTTATATTTTTAACTATTATAAAATGACGAAAAGCTTAACGAGTAAAATCGTCATTAAGTCCGACCCTACTGGATATTTAAATACGACCTCCATTATCTCTCTACACCCTCGACCTTTAAGAAAAAACAGCAATATATATAACCGATTCTAGACTAATTTGACTCAACATTTCCAAAGCACGTATAATTTTTTTTGGGAATAATCCATATAAACTATGCTATAAACAAAAAATTGTAGGATTACTTATCGAGTGTGTACCGTTCGACGACGCCATTGCTTAAGCTTGTTTTCGTCGCGGAGCGGCGCATCGAACGGCGGCATATTTGTTGTATATCTATTTAGCGATAATATTTACCTTTCAAAATTACCGTTTTAATGCTTGTCATATTTTCCGACCACTAGATGACGCTTCTACACGTGCGTGCAGGAAGCGACTAACACTCGACTTCATGCATTCCTTGTCAATATTATAATAAGACAATAAAACAATTAACACTTATTGACAGTAGTAGTAGCAGTAGTAAGTTAGTGTGGGCTATACTGTACTGACCATCAACCCCGACTTTAAAAATAACATCTTCCTCTTAAATTTCACACAAAGCCGATGTTAATAGGTGTAAGCCGAGATAATAAACGGAGAGTTCTTAAATTTAATATGCTTATTTTTGCGTTTTTGAATTAAATAACAATAAAATACACATGAAAGAAACGCTTTCGGAATTCCATGAGTATTTTACGTCATTAGAAAGAAGACAAAATAAAGAAATTAAACATATAATCGTAGTTTTTTGATGTAATGTTGACAGTTTCACAGTTTTAGAATAAAAACGCGTTCGTTTTTTTAATGCCGTTGAGGAATGTATGACCTCACTTAAACCGGCATGCCTGTTTTTACCATAGGGAAATATGTGATATCATGGTCTCTCCCGGATAGCCCGACATGCCGGACAATCCGCGAAAATACGACATGAGGAATTATTGTCAGATTTATGTAAGATATAAGCGAGATAAGCCATAGTTTAGGGCTTAACTATAAATGGTATTTTCGGTCGATGATAATTTTGGAGGATTCTTTTCAGTGCTTTGGAGTCCCATTATGGGTAAATTCGACCCGTAAAGAAAGAAGAAAAGAAGACAGATTGAAGAATACGTTGTGTTTTTCAGCAATAGATCATCACGACTGAACACGTTTTTACCATATGAAACCTCAACATCCAAAACTGGAGAGTCGACACCTAGGACACGGTGAGATGTCTAATGTCGGTACTGTAAATAAATGCCTCAAATAATAACTGGCCTTGATTTTGTACAGTGCCAGACCATTTCAATAAATTTTTAAAATATTTCAAATTATTTTTAATTATCAATAATAACTTTTAAAAATATTTTAAAAGATTTAAATGCATAGGCCTATATTAATTTTAATACGATTGTATTTAAAGTTTTTCATGTGTTTTCATTATATAGATAAGCAAATGGAAATTTGTTGTTAGGTTATAGAAGCTTATCAGTGTTCTTTAATTGCTAGGCAAATATTTTTTTAAATTTGATTACTAACGTAATATTGGATTTCACTTATCCATGTCAAAAGCTCAGAATTTTTAACTGATTATATATACAATTTAAAATAACAAATACATAGATTAGTATTCTAGAAAACATAAGATTTTAATGGATACTCGTGTTTTATATTTCTTAAAATTATTTCATAATGGCAGTTTCCAAACTATTATGCTGATATTAATCAAGTATAGTCCTGCTAACGTAAGTTGGCATTTGTCGAATCAGAGAACCATTCATAAGAGAGAAAGGGATACCAATGCTTCAAGACTAGAATAAACAATTAACTATGTACAGTACAGTACAATTAATAAAGCAGTATCTCCCCCTACAACTAATTGAAAAGTAGATTAGTCTGATTTGACAACTGCCAACTTATGTTGGAAGAACTATAATAACGTCTAGAATAAATAGATGTTTATGTAAAATCAGACTAAAGTATATTATTTATCTTGTACTTTAGAAAACGAATGTACAGATTGAGGGAGAAGTCGGGACCGCTCCGAACAGTGAAGAACTCAGTAATTCAGTAGTAGTATAGAAATAGAAGATAAAACATAATGTAAATTTTAATTAGGAAAAGATTTTTTGTGAAAATTTTCCACTGTTTGTTTTCCTTTTTTGTTGGTAGAGGCCAGGATCCCTTGGACCGCTACTGGTCCCGAATATCTTCAGAGCGAAGAGAGATACAAGTGTAGCGATACAATTTAGATGCAGAAGAGAGAACTTTTTTGGCACTACGTTGGGAAGACTTTGTGAATGTATTCCTTATGAAATGCTGTCATAAAATTATAGGTTACAAGACTCTTCTCAATGAATATTGTTAAGAGAATTCAAAATGGAAAAAAACCAATCCGCGAGGCGCGAACCCGCAACCAACTTCCACAAATCGATGGTTTTACGCGCTCGGCTGATGGTGATTGCGTACTGTTATAGTTCCTACAAATTTGTAGATAGAAATTTCCAAAGACGATCCTTAAATATCAATAACATGTGAAGATCTTCGACAAATGAGGACCCAAGAGCAAATATCAAGGCAACGATAGCCCTCTAATTAAATTTCTAATTTGTGAAGAATTAACTGAAAATGTTAAGAAGTAGAATATAAAATTTGGAAATTAAAATTTATAAAAAATGTAGTAAAAATAAATTCTAATTATTCAATAAAATTTCATAAAGTATAAAAATTTGTGCAAAGTTCAAATTTATTAATTAAATAAAAGCTAATATTAAAAAAAAAGAGGTCTTATCGCACTGATGACTTGCAACAAACCTAATGGAAAATTTATTAGATAATTGATATAAATAAAGGATAGGATCTTTCTCACGAGAACAAAATTTCTAAAAATTATAATGCACAAGAATTAAATTTGTATATCGTTACATTTGTATGTTTAATTATACTGTATATATTTATAGACTGTAAATATATAATACATACATATATATATATATTTATTTTTATAAAAAAGTGTATTAAGTAGATTAAAGAATATATCTAACAGTTCACAAGGCCTTGAATTCGTCATCGATGCAGGTGTTTATTTTCCACAAGATAAACTGTAACGTAGCTATCAAGGTTTCAATATTATTCGATAAAATGAACAGATTGACAGCTGTCTACCTTCTGGTATTTGTTAGTATGTCATTTATTTTTCTGTAAACATGTATCTTTATTGCTTATTAATTCCGATTTTACTTCGAGAGACTACGGGATTACAAGACGAAACTAAAAAGATCATATCTGCAATTGGTAAAATTTCTACAGATTTTAATGCAAATATAATTCCTGCTAAAGTTTCTTTGAAGTCACGAAGACCGAGATCGATTAAAAGGTATCCTCAAACAATTTGCACACCTTGGGATTCTTGCAAAGATAGATGTGGAGAAGGAACCGTATCGCCTCCTTATTCCTGTTACTGTGATTCTTTATGTTCTTCATACGGAGATTGTTGCGTCGATTACGAAGAAGTGTGCCATACTTTTATGGCACCATCAGAAGAGCAACGTTATGCATCTTGTTACACGAACGAGCGTTTACCTCAACAAATTTACATAGGTAATTATTGTCCCGCAAATTTCACGAGTACAATTTTAAATAAAAAGTGTAGTAACAAACTTGCGCCTGTAACTAGTAGCAACGGTCGGGTTTATTTAAATACTTACTGTGCCCATTGTAATGGTGAACGAAAGAATCTTTCTTTATGGGAAATTTCTAAAAATGGTTGGACTTTTGAGCCACCTGAATTATTCCCGGAACCACGAATGTGTTTCAACGCAATTGAAAAATGTAGCAAAACAGGTATGAAGTTTAATAATGAAGATTTGAACGATTTATGCCGAAAATTTACAGGTCCAGTTTCGGGTGGTAAGTCCAAATTATTTTATAAAAATATCTTTTGCGCCTATTGTAACGGTGAAGATTTAAGACATTTATCGTGTCCAATGTGGTCATTTAATAGTTTAAGATCGCTTAAATATTTGGAAAGTCATCTACAAAAGGTATTTTCTGAAGAGAAACTTCAAACTCTATCGAGAGGTAAAAATAACGATAACATACCTGCAGCCTTTTCTATTTTGTTAAATTTTGGACTGGATGGCAAAGAACGAATGATGTTCTCGACCGAAGACGAAGAAGAAATTATCAAAAATCAACGTCGTTGCGGAAAATCAAAAATTTGGGATCCATTCAGCAACATTTGTCGAACATTATATTGCAGTACAGAATATGTATTGATAGATTTCAAATGCGTTCCAAAATCAGAAGTAATTGATAATACGGATCCCAATGAAAGACCAGACATGATAGATGTAGATTCAAATTGTATTCATCTAACACTAAGTTTTAACGTAGAATTTTCTGATTTAATTGAACATAACATATCAAATGAGTGGATATTTAAGGAACAATTACAAGAATCTCTTGCTGTATTTTTTCAAATAACTGCAAATCGCATTCAAGATATGAATATTACTTTAATACCTTATAATACATCTAATGATAATTATACCAGAAATGTTTCGGAGGATATTAAAATAGAATTTGAAGCTGAATTTAAATTATGCGAAAGTACTAATAGCTCCAAAAAGGAACCTTCCGTGGATAATATTGTATCGATGATGGCAAGTTCTGTTTCTCTTGATGCGTTTTACTTAGACATAGCAAATGTGAAAAGTAAAGTATCTCAGATTCATCAAAGTATAGATACTTTATCAACTTGGTGCTCCGCTTCAAGAGGAGGACAACACAAAGAATACTGGAATCAAGATTTTACACTAATTTTAAATAATGACAATAATAGCTCTAATATGATTAAAGAATTATACATTAACAAAACCGGTAAAACATATTCTAAAGGGCAATTTGTGGCTAATATACTATTTCAAGGATCTAGACATAATGAAAATTTGATAAATGTAAGTGGATTCGTCATCGTATGTGAACATAGTAAGGTTGTACTTGATCCATCTTGTCCTAGATTAAAATTAGAAAAAGACGAGTATAAAATATTACAAAATAGCACCTTAATATATACAGGAAATTCAGAATTAGGCCCTTCTATGGATTTATCTGTTTACGAACGTGTCGAGAATGATAGTGTTCTTGTTTGTTATAATATAACTAGATTTAAGAATTGGATGAAACAGGATTATATAATGGAATTTGATAAAATTCAAGCTTATCTTAGTTTGATTCTTTCTTGTGTTTCAATAACGGCATTAGTTATTGTGTTATTTACATATATTATCTTTTCGAAATTGCGAAATCTTCCGGGATGGAATACCATATTTTTAACAACTTCAATATTATTAATGCAAATAACCTTTCTTCTCGGTCAAAGAGGAACCGTCAAAGGAACTCTATGCCAAATTGTAGGGATTTTGACACATTTTGAAATTCTAGCATCATTATTTTGGATGAACATAATGGCTTACGATTTATATAAGACTTTTGGAAACAAGAACATGTTGAATTTAGAGAGAAAGATCACAACATTATTTTGGTATATTTTGTACGCTTATGGCATGCCCGCTGTTATTGTATTATTTTCATACTTGATGGATAATTTTAATCCAACTTTTGGTGCTTTTTATGGTTATAACGATATTTGTTGGATAACAAATTCCAAAGCTGCATTAGTATTTTTTGCATTTCCATTGGCCATCATTGTAATTGTTAACATTTTACTATTTAGCTTTACAGTTCGTGCCATTAAAGTCGTTCAAAAAATGATTCGATCGAAATCCGATCAAAAGCAGAAGCAAAATGATGCTTTTTTATATCTCCGAATGGCAACAGTCATGGGTTTCACTTGGATCCTTGCATTCCTTGCTGCTTGGTATCCGCGTGATAAGCTCGTTGGTGAAATATTAGCTTATCTTTTTATTATTTTTAATACTTTACAAGGTCTTTTTATATTTTTTGGTTTCGTTTGTAATAAAAGAATTTTAAGATTTTATAAAGATAAAATTACAAGTTTAGAATTACGAGGTTTTAAAACATGTTCATCGTGTGGAAAATTTCGCTGTGTTTGCCAAACGAAACAAATTTGTCGAAGTTCGTCCACTGAAACTACTTTCAATTCAATTTCTGAATCTGTTCCTACTTTAATTAGTTTTAAATCTGTTTAAATCTAAACGAATATCGCGATTTGCAGCTCTGGTTTATCGTATTGCAAATCCATGAACAAATGAATTGTTATCGGTTTAAATATTCCTTTGTATAAATATGTTCCATATTGGTCTCGTTACTTATCAATTGCTTATATTTTTCGAATAATTCCAATAATAGTCAATCTGAAATCCTAGGGCTTTCAGTAACTAAGGATAATGCATTCGTGTCCATGGATAATAATTAGAAATTAAATTGCATTTCATTTCAATTGCTTCAAGCAAAATTTGCAATTTTTAATATAATTTTTCAACAAGGATCATATTCCCTAAGTAAACATATATATATATATATATAAATTTAATTATTAATACAATATAATACTAATAAACTGAATAAAATAAAAAAAAATTAATGATGATAATGTCATACGACATATATATTTTATGCTATAAGTTTATTGAATTTTTTAGTTTATTAATTTTTATATTATGTTCTATATATATATATATTGACATCGACGTTTTTAACTTAGATTAAGCACTTAAGAACGTAATTAAAATTAATTATTTGAACATATATGTATAGGCTATATGTGTCTGTATTTTATTCTAATATCATATTTATGTAATATATGTTTAATGATTTGTATTGAAACTTAAGTGTACAATGAATGAAGAATGTGTTTTAATGTTTATTTTGATTAAATAAAATAATAAAAATGTATTCATATTTTTTAAAATAATCCAGTAGTTATTGTCTTATTACGTATGTTCATCGATTGGGTTTGTAGATGTTGGTTTATGTCATGGTTGGGGATAGATAAACGGGTTGGGGAGCTGCTAGTGTTCTCACCCTTCGTTTTCGTTCTATGGACAACTGCTCCCAGTAGGCTAAATTGGCAAGAGTTGCGATAGCACGCGTGTATTTTAAAATGGATTTTTGTGGCGTATTTTAATTATTTTAGTTGTACTTTTTAAGTATTTGTAACACACGAATTGAATATTTTATTTTTACAAGCATAAAATAAAGGAAAAAAGCATAAAACTGAATTAGCTGTATGGGAAACTCTGTGAACTTTGACTTATAAGTTATATCCGGTTCGTGAGCATCTCACTGACAACGAGAGAAGTTCAAGTTTAAAATTTGAGCTTTCTACACCCAGTTTTTTTTCCCTCTACGAGCATTTGCAGTGCCTGGTGAAGAAAAGAAAATATAGCTTTTTTTTTTTTTTTTCAATCGCTTATATTTCGGCAACCGCATTACAGAAAATCTTTGAAATTTTGCATACTACCTAAGAAAACAATTTTCTTTCGAATGAGATATTTGGAATTACTTCAGATGTTTGGGGCTCCGAAAATCGGCAACTCTAATTTATGTTAGTCAGTCAGTGGCTTTCTTACTTGGTGGGGAGTCACGGTTACTCCTGATATTATAAACAAAAAGCAATGAGAATGAACAGGTGCTGCGAAGAGAATGTATAGTCATTTTAATTAATAATACTTTTTATTTTTGTTTTATATTATTACAGTAGAGCGTCGATTATCCGAATCAATTGGGGACTGGGGTTGTTCGGAAGATCGATGTTTCGGATAACCGATTATGTACGAAAAAATATATTAATTTATCCCATCTTGACATTTTTCTCCGTTGCGTGTCGCTTCGCGTTGAATTTTCGTCGATGTTAAACCTAACGGAGACTATTGTATCGTTAAAAATTATCTTTTTATTTTGTACAAACAAAATAAATATATTGAAAAATATAAAAACAATAAAAAATTATACTTCAGATGTTAATTTAGTATCAAAAACGTAAAATATTTGAGTAGCCCAAGATATAGCCAAAGATTGCAGCGCCACAGCACTGACGAAAATTTTAATTTGCCGACTGGAATTCTTTCGGATGATTGACTTTCGGATAATCGATGCTCTACTGTATTTTTTTTCTACTTTTCTGGCTGTTATGTATACACAATAGCCGGGATAGTATAAGAGTAAACAATGGAAAGTATAACAAAAGAAAGTAAAGGAATCGTATTAAATTTAACCTTCCGATATTTTTACAAATCTGTACGTTTTGAGAACACCGGAATCCAAAATAGTTAAAAGAACAGCAAAAGAAAAAAAAATCGTGGATATGTATGTACAGTCGACCCCCTATAACGCGGGTTCATATAATGCGGATTCGTATATCGCAGCGAAAAAATTGCGACTGTATTCGTATAAAGACTCTAAAAGAGACTCGTAGAATGAGGTAAAACGTCATAGCCGACTCGTGTCGCGACAGGATTGGTCGAATCTGGACCAATAGTGGACGAGCAGCCGAACTACTTACACTCTACGGAGAGTTTAGGCGGGCAAGTTGAGTTTCTATCGTCTGTACAGTATATAAATTAGGTACTGTAAGTCTAATACAGTACTGTAATTTTATACATTTCTTGTGAAAAAAACATTTCTTATTCAACGGACATAAAAATTATTTCTATTAATGATGTGTCCAAAGTTCAGCGAATTTTTGGCAGAAAAATAACTTATCAGAAAACGCGTCCGCCGTTCGGTGCGCTGCTCCGCGACGAAAACAAGCTTAAGTAATGGCGTCGTCGAACAGTGCACACTCTGTAAGTAATCCTACAATTTTTCGTTTATAGCATAGTTTATACGGATTATTCCCAAAAAATTATACGTGTTTTGAAAATGTTGAGTCAAATTAGTCTAGAATCGATTAATTTTATGGAAGAAAACTTTTCAAACAGCCGTAGTCCGTAAACTGCACACGTGCCGGGCTGTGATTGGTTCATGTATTTAAGGATTCCTACAACGTGAAATTCTTATATAGTGGAACGTATCTACCGCGTTATAGGAGGTCGATTGTACGTGAGTTTGTGTGTGTGTTGACGTCTATTTCGCTTAAAATCTCAAAACGGTGTACAGATTAAAGAACGAAATTTGGCACAGTGGCTTGTGTATAAGGGGCATTGATGCTATTAAATTTTGGTGATGAAAGGTCGAGAGGTTGGGGAGATAGAAGAGGGTCATATATCTCGAGAGGAGTAAAATTTAATGACGATTTTACTCGTTATTAGCATTTATAATATTTTATAAAAGTCACATCTACCTTCAAAATAACGGTTTTTGCCATTTTAAAGTAAATAAAAGTATAATAACAAATTCTGATAACAGATGGTGCCATACACAATTTATTTATTTTTGCTTAATAATATAAAAGTTATTTTTTAATTAAAACTTACAACAGCTAGGAAAATTACACAATTCTCATTTCTAGATTTGCTGCGAAAAACATGCCATTACCATTTTCCTTTCATAAATATAAAATTCATTGATTTGATTACTGAACAAGAACGTATCATTCGATCCTGATCACTCAATGGAGTGTTTGAATGTCTTTATTTACTTGTTGTTTATACGTCTTTAGATGTATGATAGAGTCGTATTACTGTAAATTGAACAAAATTTAAAAGTAAATTGATTTGACTGATCGCCATACGTTTCCCGGTTATATATAACATTCGCAGAAGTAAAAATAATACTCTATGTAACGTGCAACTGATATTACTCAACTTTGGCATATTCGATTTCGAAAGTGGCGAAAAGAAAGACATTGAAACATTAAATAATAAAATAAACGTAACTTTTAGAAAGAGAAGGTAAATTTTTATTTAAAAATAATAATAATTTTAAACTACTTAATTAAATATTCCTGTTACAGCTGTCCCTTGATAATCCGAAAAGATATGGGACCAAAGAAGTGTGGGATTACCAAAAGTATCCGGATTACCGAAAGTGATTACATATTTGGCATTGTTTTGCTAGCAGTAGCCTACGATATTCCCTACTCCAACTGTTCGAACAGAACGGCTCACGGAAAACACACGAAATGTGTGTCATCTTGTAAGAATTGGGCGGGGAGATTCACGTCGCGACATGCTTCTGTGCAAGCAGACACGTAACGGGGACGGGTACCTTGACGGGAGGTGCGTCGGACTACTGAGCATGTCGGATTACAAAACGTCGGACTATTAAGGGACAGCTGTATTTTTATAGATTATCCTTATTTGTTTAATTAATATTTACAGAAACAATTGATTTTAGCTGTTTAAGTCTGAAAATTATCAATTGTGTAAACATAAGATTTCTTTCTGCTGAATTCAAAGTGATATCTTCATATTTAATATGTATAATTGATAATTAAAAGTCTGAAAATTGGAATTGGAACTGATACTTACTTTAAAAATTAATACTGAATTAAACTAAACATAGATATAAATTAATGTTATTATTCAAAATTTTCTTTTTTAATTTTGAATTTTAAGAAAATAACTACCAAAGGGAATCTTACGTTATCTGAAGGGATTACATTACGTCAAATGAGGCACTCTTATTACTCACAAGACAGAGAGTAAAAAAAAAATAAAAAGAAAACCTTCTTTATTGAATTAAAAGCAATAAATATTAATTAAAATATAAATCCAGATTTATATTGAAATCATAATTCTAATTATATCATCGCACAGACAGCGAAATTATATTTCTGAAGTGACAAAAAATTAAATGGCGCCTTGTCTGGTTCTGTTTTAGACTTGTATTTAATAAAAACTTTAATAAAATAATTTATATGCGTGAGTAAGAGAAAAATATTTTTAAAAGAATGAAATGAATATATATATATATATTAATTAGAATGAATAAAAAATAAAAAATAAATTAAATTAGAATAGTTAAATTGTATGGTACTTTGCACGCCAAGCAAATTCTTCAACTTTGGGCACGCTTGCCATTCGATCATCAGTCTCCGTCAGACCCTGAATTACTATATTTTTCTTCCGCAATTCATTTGCCAGTGAATCAACACTATGCAAAAGTAAACTATCTTTGCTTTGCGATTCTTGCTTAAACTTAAAAATTCCCTCTAGTTTAGTTTCAATCTTAGTCGAACTTTCATCGTTTTCGTTATGTCAATTTACAAGCCAATCGATTCTAGCAGACACTTCACTTAAATCATTATTAAACTTTCATCTAAAATTGAACGTATTTCGTTAGGAATCGACTTACAGTAGACCCCCNTTAATTGTATTAATAAACTGTACAGATAAACAAGATTAAAAATCACGATGAATTGTGATTCCAACTATATAGAAAAATAAATTATTTAACTAAAGTAAGAAATAGGAAGGAGTCTATAGGGGATGGAACGTTTAATGCTGCATAAAAGAGGATCAATGTGGATGAATACAGATGTCAACCTTTCGTATGACACAATTCCACATTGGATTACGAGTTATTTTTACAA